TTTGTTGAGTTCTTTCCTTAATAACTTATTAACTCAACAATTATCCATCACCGTTGGTTCCACAATTTCTGTGTCCAAGTTCAATTCTTGGAGGTGATTTTCTTACTTGCTAATTAGTTTATTTTCAGTTTTCCATTGGGTTTGGTATAGTGTCTTCCTGTTTGTTAATTTATTTCTCTATTCATTGTAATCCAGCGTGTTGTGAAACAATTTGCTTTGCCACATGTATGTAGTATTTTTTTGCGCAATTAATTTTTATTTTTTTTATTTTAACATGATGACAGAATGAAGGTACAACATCATGTATCACTCTAAAATAAATAAATGTCAAAAGTGATGGTTTTGAGGTTGACATTGAAGGTAAGATTATTGTTGTCTTAATTATTATAATTTAATTCAAAAATGCGACAATCAACATATTTATTGAAACATATGATCGTTACTTTTATTTGCTTTTCTTAATTCAATATATTCTGTCTTTTAACCTTCCCATGCACACTCTTAAAAATAATTGGGTTTTAAAACAAAAATCGAATTTAGTTAATATGAAAAACATTATACTGCATGATTATAATATCGAAAAAAATCATAAAATTATAAAGGTATCAAACAACCATTGACGTTCAAATAAAATCTTTTTATTTTTGTCAAATTCAATGAAATTATAGTATTCAACACAGGTCAAAAAGTGAAAAATCAGGCATCAATCAGTCACCAATCAGTCACCAATCAGGCACCAATCAGCTACCTGATTGGTGACCGATTCCTGATTTTTCACTTTTTGACCTGTGCAACAATAGTTGCATTCCTGATTTCCAAGCACCCAGTCACATGTCAAATGACTAAAAACAGGCAAAAAAAATGGCTAGAATTGCATAAACTATTCGCAAATTTATATCAACTATTTACAAATAGTATAGGTTAATTCGCAAATAGCCAAAAACAGCCAAGAATAGCCAAGAATAGCCAAGAATAGCCAAGAATAGCCACTGCTTTTCACGCCATTTTTTTTGCCGATTTTTAGCATTTTGACCTGTGAGTCCCAGCTCAAACATAGATTGTTGTGGAATTCTATAATGATTAAACAGTATTTACCATGGTTACTTTTGGTATTTGATACCATGTAATAGTTATTGAGTTTAACCCAGGTAAATATTTTATAAAGAGTACCCAAATACCCATCCGCTGTACATGAAGTTTTTATTGGGCCATAATTAATAGAAAGTATTTTTTTTTTTAGATCATTTTTTGCGTTGCCCTTGAGACACCACTACCTGCCTCATTTTATATAGCGAACTGACTCCTTTATCATAGCTCAAAAATACAATAAAAGCTTTCCTTTGATTTTTTATTTTTTAAACATGTGTGCTTTCGTGTATATGTTCTCTGTTCTCATAATGTTTTTTTTATTATATACTGGAGGATAAAAAATAAATACAAAGGTTCAGATCAGCGCCCGGCCGCCCGTACATGTAAAAATAAATACAACTCCTATAGAGCGCTTCATAGAAGACAATGATAATGAAAACTCTAACAATACTGATAGTGAAATTCTACTAACAACAATGATAATGAAAATTCTAACAACATTGATGACTTTGAACAAAATTTAAACACCAATTTTGTAGAAGATAATTATGAAGATCAAAAAATTTACACTTTTTTTTTTGTTTCTTTTAATGAAAAATGTCAGGTTTGATGTTTTTTCATTAAAAAAAGTTCTTTTAGAGGGTACTGTTTTTTATTAACTAAAAGCAGTAGTGCAAATCATTATGTAATCCTTTTAAAAAGTGGCTGGTATATTTGTATATGTTTACAGCTTGTTAATAGTGGGTGATATGTAGACATTATTTTAAAGTGATGATGGATAGTAATAATGCTAAATTTCTAATCTCGTTAATCCCTAGAAGATGGTATAAGGAAAATCTTTAAGATGATGAACAAAGTTTTATCAACTCTGACAACATAATGCTTGGAAATGGTGTAGTAGAAGCAGATGGACCTGAAGAATTTGTAATCAGATTTAATCAAGATAAACCTTCATTTTCTCAACAACATCATGATAATTACACTCAAAAGTGATATGAAAAAAGAATGAGTATGCATCAATTATTGATCTAGCAAAAGCATCAGCCACTCTATTGAAATTGGAGATCTTAAAAAAATTCTATCAGATTATCATGATGAGTTATTATAAATTAAAGAACAACAACAAGCTCATATTAGAACATATTGCAAAGGAAAACCTTCTGCTATTAAAATCAGCCACCAAAATAAATAAGAGATTTAATAAGAAAATAGTGAAAATACTACATATGTGGAAAATGTAATAAAATGGTCATAATGCCAGAACATGTAAAATTAGTGTAATCATTATAATACAACAGATATATATTTTTTGATTCTTTAATTGCTAAATAAAATGTCTTTTATTTTTTTTAAAGCATTAAAATAAAACATTTTAAGTATTTGTAAATTGATCAGTAATACACTAAAAATAAAAGTTTTACTGTATTTTTGTCCAATCAAAATGTGTATTAGATTCTATATGATGTAATGGGGTTATGGATAAATTTTTCAATTTAATTATAAAAATATTTAAATTTTTTCATATGAATAATTATATGTTATTTCTTCAACAGATTTCCATAAAATACGTCAAAATCCAATTACTAATATAACAAATCCTTTTAATTTATTATTAGGATTTGATTTAGTTATTTTAATTCTTTTATCAAATATTCCTGAACTATAATAATCATTTGGTTTTCCTTTTGAAATAATATTCATATATGATTTCAATTGTTTAATTCCATTATTTAATACTTCTTCTATAGTTACTTTTTTAGTTTCATTATGTTCTTTTGACCAATATTCATATGATCTTTTTAAGAGAATTTTTTCATCTTCTTTTTCAATAATTTTATCTAAATTTTCTAAATCATTTGTATTAAACTTCTTTTTTTTAATTAATCCAACTAATGAAATATATTTTAATTCTAAACTAACATTATTATTTCCTATTCCTTTTAAGATAAAAATATCTGAATATCCAAATTGGCCAAATCCTTTTAATTTTGTACCATCCATTACTAATGATAATTCAGGAATACGATATTTTAATGGTAAAAGATTTTCAACAATTGCCTGAAGAACAGGTTCATTTGCAGAAGATAATGATATTTGTGATCTTGTTAATAAAAATGTTTTTAAAAGTTCAATAAAAGGTAAAATATTATTTGCAATAAGATTTTCATATGCTGAAGCGATAAGAAGAGCATCATTCACAACTTGTCTATATACTAATTTATCTTTATTTTGTTCTAAAATTCGAATTTGTTTTGTTATAAGTTCTAAAAAAAAATAAAAAAAATAAAAAAAAAAAAAAAAAAAAAAAAAAAAATAATAAAAATATTATAATTTACCAGAAGATGAATCAGTATCATTATTTCATGTTCTTTTTAAATTTCCTTTTTGTTTAACTTGAAAATCAATTTTTTCAGTCCAAATCTTATTAAAAGTTGATTCCAATTCTTCTCCTAAAATATGCATTTCACTTCCTATATCATTATATATATAACAATTGCGAAATATAAGACGAATATCTTTTTCAAATCCTTCAATACTTGCATATTGATTATTTTCTAATTTTGAAATTATTGTAAATAAATCCATTGAATTTTTTATATTCTCATTTGAAATTTCATAAAATGGATGAATATTAGATTTAATATCAAGTTCTTGAAAAATATCATAACAAAAGTCAATAAGTTGAGAATTTTTAGAATTATTTTCAGTAGAAATAGAATGAATTTTAATAGGAATTTTGATTTTTTTTTGAATGAGATGAATTAGAAATAGATTGATTTTTAATAGGAATAAAGTAATCATAATCAGTATTTTCAATAATTTGTTGTGAATAAGAAGAATTAGCAGATACTATGTTTTTCTTTTTTATTATATTTTTCAACATTCTTTTTTGAATGGGATGAATTAGAAATGTGTGAACAAGATGAATCAGCAAAATCAGCAAGCACTATGTTTTCTTTTTCATTATTTTCTTCAATAAATACTTGATTTTTTTTATATTCTTTAATAATTTCTTGGCAAAATATTTTTAATGTTTTTGCATATCGAAATCGTTCTGCAATTACCTATTATTAGAAACAGTTTATTAGTAGTGTGTTAAAATTTATTTAGTAATATAAAAAGGTACATAGCCAATTCCTTCTCCAGAATTAGCAGACTTATATCAACTACAAAGTTAGGACACCTGAACCGAGAAGCTTGGAGTGGTTACCACGACTTGTCAAATCCAGTAAATTCCCTAAGTTAAGTTCTGATTAACTCTAGGGGTTACCCTAACTTTGCAAAATAAAAAAAAAACACACCTTATCTTTTAAATCAGGAAAATCTTTTTTAAGGAAATCTTTTTTTTCTCTCAAAAAACGAACAGCCCAAAGATTATCAAGATTTTTCCAATTATCTAAATTTGAAGTAGTATCAATTGAAGCAATAATAATATCACGGTGATTTGTTAAGAACCTCCAATATGATTTTGTTGTCCTATTGTTATCTGATAAATAAGAGATAAGAGCTAAAAAGATTGAAAGAATTGGGTTAATTATTAATACTACAATCTACAAGTTAAAATGCAGTTCACAAGATTTACCATTTTGACCAATGAAATCTTCAGATGTGGTCATGTTTGAAATTGATAAAGATAATTCAGAGTTTAATAATTTAATAAAAAAAATTGATAAAGATAATTCAGAGTTTAATAATTTAATAAAAAAAGAGAAATTGATGAGAGTTTAATGTCTTAAATAAAAAAAATCCTTTGTAGATAGTATGACTCAGACTGACATATTGATTTATCAAAGTGAAAAAAATTAACACTACAATTATAATAATTAAATCTATTATTTATCGTATTAACAAGAACTTAATCATTTTGCCAAATATGGTATAGTATAATTAATATAATTATTGATTAAAATCATGTCATTAGAAATTAGACATATAGCTTAAAGGTGATTCATTTTAATTCAGTTATTTTGTTAAGCAAATGACTCAACTTTCATCATTTTGACGCATTTGACATATACGCGTTTAAAAGATGAAACAATTGAAACATGTTGAATATATTATGCATGATACATGTACAGAGTTATTTTGTTAAGCAAAATGACTCAACTTTCATCATTTTGACGCATTTGACATATACGCGTTTAAAAGATGAAACAATTGAAACATGTTGAATGATACATGTATAGTAGGTGTTACAAAAAAACACGTTTGGTCCTATTTTATATATTTTATATTCATTGACTGCGAAAGTAACATATACGCGTTTAAAAGTGAAATTACTGAAATAAATTGAAATATGTTGAAATATATTGTGCACTATCATTTTTTTTGTATCACTTATCACTTATAGAAATATTTTTATGACAATGATATGATTCACCGTATATATATTTGAAAATTAAATATACTTACAATATACGGTTTTATAAGATAAATAATATAAAAAACAAAAAGTTCTTAAGAACAAATTTTAAACTCTATAAGAATAATAAGTATTTAATATTTTTATTTTCGATATTTTTAGTTGAATAAATAATTTTACGATAATTATTAAATATAAAACATAAAATCGTCTGAATTCAAAAGCTCGGGACTTTTCTCATGATGCATGATTTAACGACTGACCCACGCTATGCTAAGACTTAACTACAGTATCCGACTTTTCCGCAAGACTGCCCAATGATCTACACTTTTTATTCCTCTAAATTAACAGCTGAATCCGCCTTTTGTGGTTCTTCCAATAACCAGATAATATGACCAAGGACCTTCTCAACCATGTCTTTCATACCCGCGCAAAAAGAGGCGGCTTCGACAATTTAAACGATAGTTTCCCTTCAGCGTCTTGCGTACATTCCATGAAAGTACCATTTCTCCGCATCTGTTACGATCCCCCATACTTTGTCAAACCCATGTCCATCATCCATTTCATTTGCTTTGCGCTTACGACCTAGTGATGAATCCAATTGTACGATAGCTTCTGCGAAACCCTGCTTAAAGTCATCTTTTTTGACCTCAATTAGACCGATAATTCTCCCGGTCGTACATGATTCAATACCATAGTCAAGATTCCCACACCCATTTTTTCCCTCAATCAGCTTCTCTTGTAACTTGACTTGATCCTTGAACGGGTAAGTTGCAGAGACGAGATAAGTATACGAGTAGATACTTTTGGTGGCCTCATGGGATACGTCGATAGGAGTTGTTGCAACTCGAGTCTCCAAATTTACGCAACGCTTCTTTATATTCCTCATTCTTTGTGTCGACACATCCACAAAACGGGATACACGTTAATGTTAGGGTTCAGATCATCACTTCGTTGAAGGGCTTCGAGGGAGTCTCAATGAGTACAGTAATCTTTGAAGCTGCTTTTTGACACGAACAGCCGAAGCATTTCACGAAGGTCTTGATCGGTCCTAGGTACATCAAACTCTGTAGTGCAACAACCAGGTTAAGACAGTAAGTAATTTAACGTGAAGAATCATTTCCCGAGGAAACAGTTTCATAACCTGAAGATTTCACTGACAACCCATCGGCCAAATTTCTTAGCAAAACTTTATACGTACCATGAGCTAACTTGTTTTATTTAACTTTCCATAAATTCTATTTTTAATCCACTTTATAAGCTTTATTTAAACTTTCTTAAAAAATATTCATTTACACCATATTTTTTTACTCCACTTTATTATATCAATCGTGTTGTTATTGTTATGTCCTAATAAAAATGTCGGTCTATGAAAATCTGCATGATCTTATTGGGCTGAACGATAATTCATAATTATTTATTTATTTTAAATAAATTCGAACGTATATATAATTGGTTGTAAGATTTATTTCTAAGAACCAGAAGGCTGAAAAAATTTCATTTACTTCGGGTAAGGGAAATCACGTGAATAATTTTTCACTGACGGTCACATTTTCCCAAAAGTACCGAGGGTGTTCTTCTTCGGATAATATTATGGAAGAAGAATATCCACTTCAACGAGGTTCCCATAATCTTAACTTGCAAACGTTTAGTATGTTTAGCATTCAATTCTTGATAATATAAAGTTTTACCATGGGTCAATATTTTATTCATCTATAACTATCTTATTAGTTCAATATAAAATAACCATTTAAATAGATATGATACTTTATTTAAAGAAATATATATATACTGTATATCAAAAATATTAAGCTAACTAAATATAATTTTCAACTATTTAAATTCCTAAGTATATTTTTTTCTCCCAATATCAAACTTTTTAATTATACCTTTTGCCTTATATTCTTGTAAAAATACATTTAATCTTTTCCGTAGCTTTACATACTGTTGTAGTTGCTGACTTCTCCTTATGAAAAAATAGCCTATATTTAA